CACCAACATCTGCATTTGCTACATCTAACCAAGAAATTCCCAGAACCAGACAAGAGGAGTTACCTATGTCCTCCACTCAGAGCTTTTCTTCTTACCCTCTTGACAAGTTGGATGAGAACCAGCAGGCAGATTTGGCCATAGCTGAGGGTGTGAAGTTGCTAGAGCAGACAAGTATTGAAAAGCGACTGGCAGGGATGTCTTCACCAACCAGCAGTGGTCATGTTCTAAGTGAGCTGGAGCAGTTTTTGAGATCTGAGAACAAATCTTCTAGTGATGGAACATCAGGGAATCCTCCTGGTTCAAGTTTTAAGCTGGAGGCTGCCATCAGTGGCAATAGCAAGCATTCAAGTTTTGACACCTCAAAGTATATAACACCCTCAGATATTGAAAGTTTAGAGAAGAAGAAGACTCAGAATGACAAGAATAGTTGGGATAACTATTTAGAACATGTGAAGTATGTTAGTAATGAAAGCATGCATGCTGAACTGACCGCTTTGGATAAAAGTGATGGAAATCAGTTGGAGAACATACCTTTGAAGGATATTACAGAAGTGATTGGTCTTCAGAAAGAACTGAACCAACAGTCCAGCAGACATGAACATTGTCTGCCTCATTCACAGTTTGAAAACAGACAAAAAGCAGTAAAAAGGAGACCTATTGATCATTCAGTTGAAACTGTATACCAGATGGAGCAGAGATCTGAAACAGGTGGGCAAAATGCTGTAGCAGGTGAAAAAAGTGTTGTCTTTGGTGGGCATCATCTTGTTCGAGGGGATCAGAATGACATAGTTACTGGGCACAATACTTTACTTGGTAGGCAGAATGGTGCAGTGGCTAAAGGCAGCCGTACAGTGGGTGGACAAAATGCCACAGTATCTGAACAGAATACTGCAGCCTGTGGGCAAAATGCTACATTAGGTCGAATGAGTATGACACACTTGATGCAGAGTAATAAAATACCTCAAATGCTTGCATCAGTTCCTGGTATGGCACAGGTAGGACAGAACATTTCTGCTGAATGTCTGCCATTAGAAATAGAGACTCCAAACTTTGGGAACCAGGACTTTATTTTATTTTCCGAACAAGGAAGAATCAACCAGACTGTTGTTGGACCACCAACAACTCAGCCAGATTTTTTACTAAAGAATAGCTTAACACAGTGTGCCAGATTTCCAGTCTCAAGCACAGCTGTGTCTGGTCTTACTCAGACAAATCCTACTTATGCATCCCAAAGTTTTCAAACAGTTACTGCACAGACTTTACATTCAGACAAAATGCAGAGAGATTTCCAGCTGCCAATTGTCATGGACTCTTTTGAAACAGAAATGCGTTCGACACCATCATCAGTGGAGATCTTAAAAGAAAATAGATCAAGTTTTAATAACGATTTTTTTAATGTAATGCCGTCTGCGGAAAGTAAAATGTACCCCACTGTTGAGTTACTGCCCCACTCATCATCCTCAGCTCACTCAGCCACTACATCTGCTTCACACATAAGTATGACTCAGTTTAAGAAGCCTCAGAATCCAAGCTGCTCCAGTGGTTCTTCAGTTACAACTTATAGACGTGAAGTGACCACCTACCCTAGTGTGGGCGGGAACAGTGATGTGTCCATGAATTCAGACACAAGTTTACCCAACAGTATGACACTGCATGAGGTGAGTATGGATCCTAACATACAAACACCTCAGCAGCAGAAATCTGCACCTCAAAATGTTGAGCAGTATTCTATGCAGTTTCAACAAATAGATTCTCATCAGCTTGGGCAAACAGTAGTGCAAAGTACTCAGCAGCAGGCAGGGCAAAATATGTTACAAAATACACAAGTTGGACAAAACATATTGCATGGTACACAACAGGTGGGGCAAATTATGTTGCAAAGTTCACAACAGGTTGGGCAAAACATGCTGCAAAGTACAACAGTTGTACAAAAGATGTTGCAAAGTAAACAACAACAGGTTCAGAATAAAATTCTCAGCCAACAATGTTATGGTCCACAAATGCAACAAAACCAACACCAGCTGCTGCTCCAACAACAGAAACATCTACAAATGGAACAAGCGAAAAAACAGCAGCAAATGGAGAATCAACGTCTGCTAATGAAAAACCAACAACAAAATAGCAGCCAAGATTATTATCAACTGCACAAACAGCAAATGTTGAATCAACAAACTCTTCACTTTCCAACCAAACAGCAGATGGATTCTCAACAACAACAGCAAGAAATGCAAAACAATCAGCTATATTGTGAAGACAGCCAGCAAAAACAACTTCAACATTTGCATAACCAACAACAGTTTGAAGAACTCCTTCAACAGCAACAGCAGTCAAAACAGCAAGAGCAGTTTGATCAGATTCAGACTCAAAAGCAGCAGCAAATTCAGAAACAAGGACATTTTCAGCAGCAAATGATTAATCAACAGCATCAGCAAATACAAAGTCACCAACCATATCTTCAGTTACAAAACCCACAACAGTTAAAAATACAACAGTTACAGAAGCAGCTAGGAGAAAATTCCCACAGTCATCAGTTACAGAACCAAAAGCAGATCCAGCAGAACAGACAGCTGTTGAACCAACAGCATTACCAACAAATGGAGGCTCAACAACTATGGCAGGAACACATTCAAAAACACCAGCAAAAAGAAAAAGAGAGTGATCATTTACAACAGCAGAGACCATCTCAAAATAGTCCGACATTTACCAATATTTGTGTACCCCAAAAGACACCTGGTTCTCGAGCAGGATCTACCTGTTCAGAACCACAGCCAAGCCGCATTCTTCCTGGTACCAAATTTGAGACAAGATCCATGAGCCAAATCTGTGATTCTGTGTATTCACGACAGCTTGCCAATTCGTCACCCACAAGCGAAGGAACCCGTGATTTGCAGACTTTTAATGCTGTCAGTGACAGGGCGTTAGTTTCTCAGAGTTCCCAGCAGTTAACTGGCAATTCAAACCAGCAGGTACATGGTGAAAATACTTTTGACAACATGCATAAGAACAGTATGGCTGGACAGAATATTGAAACATTTGTCCAGAATTTCAGTCAGCATATTTCTGAAAGCCAGACTCCTTGCAGCACTGCTACTTCTAGCCAGCAGCCAACCTCTGGTAACATAGACATGGCTGAACAAGACCAGGTCCTGAAAAGTGCCACAGAAACCCAGCTTCAGAAGTACCTCAAAGAAGGGTTCCCATCATTAAACTCAGCAGAGTATTGCCAAGATACAGTTGCAGGGTCCCCATTTTCTCCATTGAATATTTCATCCTTGGCTCAAGATCAGCAACAACAGAATGTGGCGAAAACTGGCCAGGTTATGGACTCTGGAGATAGAAAGAGTGAGAGCAGCAACAGAGTCCGGCCGGTTGAAAGAAGCAGGGAAGAAGCTGACAGTGATTTGTCTGTGTTCTCGCTCAGCAGCGGTGACGATTTGTTGAGCTTCCAACAGGACAATGATGGAGAGACGTGAGTGAATTTAAGCTTTATTATAAACTTGTTTGGCTTTTATTCAAAACATGTATAGACAGTGTTATAAACTTGCAGAGCTATTGTTCTAAACTTGAATAACCATCATTCTAAACTTATGTAACTGTTGGTTCACACATGTATAACTGTTGTTTTAAACGTGTATAACTTTTGTCTCAAACTTGTATAGTCATTGTTCTGAACATATATAGCTGTTGTTCTAAACCTATGCAGTTATTGTGCTAAACAATTATAGTTATTACAGTGAACTTGTTTAGCTATTGTTCTAAACATGTATAGTTATTTTTCTAAACTTATAAAGCAATTTTTCTAAACAAGCATCATTATTATTCTAAACATGACTAGTTATTGTTCTTAACTGGTTGCACTGAATGTGTACAGCTGTTATTCTAAATCTGTATTTAGCTATTATTTCAAACTTTTATAGCTACCCTTTTTTAAATGTGTATTGCTAGCATTCTAAACTTATATAACTAGTGTACTAATTTGTATTGCTGTTGTAGAGAATTATGTAAATTCTCACTAGTTTTTCGGTTACATGCCTTTATTCCTTCACGCTAAAGTGCAGACCTTTTCTACCACCCCTTGTACAACTATATGTCACACCCCATAAGCTGGGGTCATTAAGTCATTCTGCTCCAGACAAGTCTCACTTAAACTGATTATATCTTTAAAAATTGTTGCATTGTTACTTTAGCTTAATAAATGTTTGGATCTGAAGAAGTCACAGTGATAACACCATAAAGTATAAGAAATAAAAGAAGAATGTGGATAGAGTTTGAAACCTGGACTCTGTATGCTCCTCAAGGGAAAAAAAGACTGAATACCTTCCACATGCGCTGTATGAGACACTCTTGGTATATCATGGTGAGACTTTGTCCCCAGTGAATGTATATATATAATTAAAAGAGCAGGAATGCTGAAGCAAGGATGTCTGCGTTGGTTGGGACATGTCTTTCTCATTTAGGGACGGTCGCATTCCAAAGGATCTCTCATATGGTGAACTGGTAACGGCAATAAAAACTGCAGAAAGGCTAAAGCTACGCTATAAGGACATATGCAAACACGACCTGAAAGATATCCACATTGGCACAGACACTTGGGAGAGATCAGCTGCAGACCAACTCCTTTGGGGCCAGACAGTGGAAGATGGACTGTTGTAGTTTGGAAGAGACCAAACGCAGCAAGCTATAGAGAGGAGACGTCTGAGAGAAAACCAGCCTCAGAAAGATACAATATTAATGTTTTTTTTATGTGGACTATGTGGCAGAGACTGCCATTCCTGTACTGGACTTTACAGTCATAACAGACGTTGTTTCCAAAACAGCGAGCCGTACAACTCCACGGTCCCCAGGGACTGATGGTTGTCTACTAACTAGGGATAAAGTGGGTTATATTTAGTAGGGTGAAGATAGCTGATAAAAGTAGAGCATATCAGTAGAACTCAACAAGCGCATGATTAGTTACATAGTACTGAAAGAGTTTACGGGCATCATTTTTTTTTCTGCAGACCTCTACATCTTCTCTCTGAGCTTCCAAAGGAAGGGATCAGTTCCTTGCCATCTATGCCAGGATTTTATGAAGCCCTGAACCTTCAAAATAAAAACCAAGAGGTAATGAGCCAGCTGTTTTTTTTTTTAAATTAAAAAAAAAATTCAAATAAAATGAAGTAAAACACATTAAAATTCCCCCGTGTGGGTTCCTGGGCCCCATTGTGGGGAAAACAAGAATAGACCCACTGCCTCCCCAAAAGCATGTCGTAAGAGTCGACTAATTGGGGAGCTTCCTTTGAAGTCGGAGTGCATCTGCCGGAGAGGCAAGGAACCAACAGTCTGTATTCAAGAGAATGAGATCTGTAAAACTGATGCACACGCAACACTCAGGTTCTGGAGCAGGACTGCAGTTCAGTAGTGGACGAGCAACCAAAACCTTCCGTCAGAGTTTACAGCTGGTCAACGCGAAGAAGAAGAAGAAGAAGAAGAAGAAGAAGAAGAAGAAGAAGAAGAAGAAGAAGAAGAAGAAGAAGAAGACATTAAAAGTCCTGGACAGTATAAACCGAGAATTTTCTGCCACTTTACCTCATTTCGAAAAAATCAATAACTTCCTGTGACCATCAGATCTGATCTACATTTTCTTCTCTTGCTGAAGATTTTTACCTTTTTGTTTTTGCCCGCTTTGGAAAGCTGCCATGGCATAGCAGCTAGACACTCTTCTCCAGATTCTAAGATCATGGATTTGGGTCCTGACGGTACCTGACTTTTTTTTTTCTTACCCATAATGACTTTGTCTCCCAGGTCCACCTAGCCTAGAATGGGTACCAGGTTAAGCTCTGGGAAGTAAAGGTGGCCAGCGTGATGTTGACCAAATCACCCACCAAGCGCTGATTGGTCTATAAATTGAGGTCAAGCCCTATATGCCCAAAACACTTGAAGACATGGAAAAGGGTCTTTTACTTTTTACTATACTATCTCTTTGGAGTCTGTTGATGTCTTAAAATGTGATAAAGGCTTTCTGAGCAAAACATTTATTCTATTACTTGTTATTGTGTATTTGTAAAACTGACCTGGACAGTGATTTATTTGCTAGCAAGTTGAATAGAGCCTCTGTAGTTGTTGATATAGAATAGGTCATATTTTATGGATGCAGAAACAGTAAAAATACAGAGATTATGAATGACTATGAATGCAAAGAGAGATGTTGAAAGATTAAAAATAACGCACTTTGAGAAAAGCTGATAATAGTTTAAGTAGAATGTCCTCGATTTAGAACACACATACAACAGAGACAGATGTGTATATCTTTTACAGGATTCTGCAAACTACCCCCAGCAAAAACAAGTTTTTTGTTGTTGTTGTTTTATGAGACAATTTTACATTCAGTAGTTTGCCTTTGCTTTCTGAACGGTCAGTGCTCCATACTAGTGTAGAAATCAGTGTAAAACGGTGTGCTGCCAGATCATCAGAAGCTGAACTGACCTAGGTATTTCAGAATTCATGAAATGAGATAGAAAAGAAAAGCTGGGGGGGGGGGGGGGGGGGGGGGGGGGAAGAGAAAAGAGTCACCAAAGAAGAACTAAGAACGATGCTAGGCACAGTACCGGTGAATTATTTCATAGTACATCAAAGCATCAAATGATTTGGTCATCTGGTCATGATGGAACACAATCAGCCAGCATCTAGAGGCCCTATATGAAAACTATCTGAAAACAGCAGCCTTCAAGACTAAGAGGCCCATCAAGAAAGATATGGGTGAATGGATTAAATGAGACACTACAGAAACACAGTATGACATTAACGCAAGCTTCACAGCTAAAAATGTGTGACAGACATTAAAAGCAGAATTAGTCAAGCGAAAGCTGCATTTCAGATAATGAGAAATATCTTATGCAATAAGTCGCTCTCATTTAATGTCAGAAAGAGGATGCTAAAATGTCACATAGAACCTGTTCTGCTGTATGGCAGCAAATCTTGTAATGTCAGTGAACAAATTAGGAAGAATTTGGAAGCAACAGAGATGTGGTTTTGGAGACGAATGTTACGAATACCTTGGACGGCCAGAGTAACTATCAACGATTGTTTCAAAGAAACTAATGAAAGTAGGTCTCTATATACAACAATAAGAAAGAGACAAACACTGTTCTTTGGCCACATAATGAGAAGAGAGACATTGGAGAGCATCGTGACAACTGGAAAGATCAATGGAAAAAGGGGTAGTGGCAGACCAATAGATTGATACCGGATGGGCAGTAACAATGGCATGGAGGAATTTCATCAAGAGAGCTGTTCCAAAAAACCAGGGATCGTGATCTGTGGAGACGCATGCATGCCTACGCCGGTTGGCAGGGCACATGATAATGATGATGACACAACTAGCATAAGACAGGAAACTATATCTAGCTTCTCTCTGTGATGCTTTATGGGTATAAGCAGTCGGACAAAAGAGGAAGAAGTTTTCAGAATCTTGTAGAGATTGAGGAAGACATAAAAACACACAGCCAGAGAACTATATTAATTAAATTAGTTGCGTATCTTTTACAGGACGTTGCAGAACCAACCCCAGCACTTTCTGGCTGTTGTGGTTTTTCTAGGCAAATTTACGTCCAGTAGCTATTGCTTTCTGAGAACTATATACAAAACTGAAAACATAAAGGGGAAAACATGAAGAAAGCTATTTTGGATGACAAAAGATGGAATGGACTTGGCATGAAGTGGTTGATGTGAAAAAAACGAGGCAGTAGGATAGAAAATACATAACTATATCTGTTACAAAAAATTTATAAATGCTAAAATACCAAAATTGTTCACCAACTTCTGCAGACGGCACTGGATATCGCAGTTAAGAATGAAAATTTGGATGCTGTCAAGTTTTTGGTCTCACATGGTGCTGACGTCAACATATTCTGCCTCAGCTCTCAGAAGGTGAGTTACCCCCAGCTACTTTAAATGTTAGGGTTTTAATTCTCTGGTCCCAAGATCTTTGAAACTAGCATGAACAAGCATGAATCCAACATAGTAAACCCTTGAATCTTCTTCTTCTTCTTTTTCCTAGTGCTGTCTTTTCAACACCAGGTTGTTATCATTCTCTTCAGACAATGATGATCTGTTTGTGCCTCCTCACTGTACTGTTCTCTTCAGACAATAATGATCTGTTTGTGTCTCCTCACTGTACTGTTCTCTTCAGACAATAATGATCTGTTTGTGTCTCCTCACTGTACCGTTCTCTTCAGACAATGATGATCTGTGTGTGCCTCCTCACTGTACCGTTCTCTTCAGACAATGATGATCTGTTCTTGCCTCCTCACTGTACCGTTCTCTTCAGACAATGATGATCTGTTCTTGCCTCTTCACTGTACCGTTTTCTTCAGACAATAACGATCTGTTTGTGGCTCCTCACTGTACCGTTCTCTTCAGACAATAACGATCTGTTTGTGCCTCCTCACTGTACCGTTCTCTTCAGACAATAACGATCTGTTTGTGGCTCCTCACTGTACCGTTCTCTTCAGACAATAACGATCTGTTTGTGGCTCCTCACTGTACCGTTCTCTTCAGACAATAAGGATCTGTTTGTGCCTCCTCACTGTACCGTTCTCTTCAGACAATGATGATCTGTTCTTGCCTCCTCACTGTACCGTTTTCTTCAGACAATAACGATCTGTTTGTGCCTCCTCACTGTACCATTCTCTTCAGACAATAACGATCTGTTTGTGCCTCCTCACTGTACTGTTCTCTTCAGACAATGATGATCTGTTTGTGGCTCCTCACTGTACCATTCTCTTCAGACAATGATGATCTGTTTGTGCCTCCTTACTGTACCGTTCTCTTCAGACAATAACGATTTGTTTGTGCCTCCTTATTGTACCGTTCTCTTCAGACAATGATGATCTGTTTGTGCCTCCTTACTGTACCATTCTCTTCAGACAATAACGATTTGTTTGTGCCTCCTCACTGTACCATTCTCTTCAGACAATGATGATCTGTTTGTGCCTCCTCACTGTACTGTTCTCTTCAGACAATGATGATCTGTTTGTGCCTCCTCACTGTACCATTCTCTTCAGACAATGATGATCTGTTTGTGCCTCCTTACTGTACCGTTCTCTTCAGACAATAACGATTTGTTTGTGCCTCCTTATTGTACCGTTCTCTTCAGACAATGATGATCTGTTTGTGCCTCCTCACTGTACCATTCTCTTCAGACAATAACGATTTGTTTGTGCCTCCTCACTGTACCATTCTCTTCAGACAATGATGATCTGTTTGTGCCTCCTCACTGTACCGTTCTCTTCAGACAATAACGATTTGTTTGTGCCTCCTTATTGTACCGTTCTCTTCAGACAATGATGATCTGTTTGTGCCTCCTCACTGTACCATTCTCTTCAGACAATAACGATCTGTTTGTACCTCCTCACTGTACCGTTCTCTTCAGACAATAACGATCTGTTTGTGCCTCCTCACTGTACCGTTCTCTTCAGACAATAACGATCTGTTTGTGCCTCCTCACTGTACCGTTCTCTTCAGACAATAACGATCTGTTTGTGGCTCCTCACTGTACCGTTCTCTTCAGACAATAACGATCTGTTTGTGCCTCCTCACTGTTTACCCAGAGGGTCCTTACAACATCTAGCTGGTACATTTTAACACTGTCCGCTTGAAAGATCGAAATGTTCCAACAATATATATTTAATGTTCTTGCATGCTTGCATGCCTGCTCCTGTGTATGCATGAATGCATGTGTGTATGTTTTTTGTTTGGTTGTGAAACCATCACCTTGCAGATTTGACACTGTGACTCGTTTATTTGACAGGGAACAGGGAGTAAGGCTGTCCACAGAAATGAAACAGTACAGCAAACAGCTCTGCATGAAGCTGTTGAACTGGGCAACAAAGAAATCGTTAAAGTTCTCCTGACTTCCCAGAATGTTAAAGTGGATGCCAGGCGGCCAGATTCTGGTAAGTTGTCCATTTACTGGCTAAAAAATGTGAACAATGTATCAGATACTTTGAATCATATTATATCAGTGACAAGCTAGATGTTGTGAGGGAGCTAGTAAACAGTGTAGGGGCACACATTAATCATCACAGTATGAAGAGAATGATGTCATGCGGAGTGGCCAGAGGATTTGGCCAATGCTGTACACTCAGGGCAGGGGCGAGACAGACATACAATCAGACTGTTACTGGTACTATTGGAAAAGGAACTGTGTTGTGTTGAGTTGAGTTGTTGAGTTGTTCATGTGGAACTCTAGGTTTGCTACTGAAAATGGGGATGGAGCATTTATGGGAATGTCTTGAATGCTTTGATGTCAATTCTTAATTCATATTTCCAACTTTATATCATTCTGTCATTTATTATTATAGTAAACCCTCACTAATATGAACTCCAAGGGACTGAAAAAAGAGTTCATGTTAAATGAAATTCATGCTAACCAAGGACTTAGATTTCAGGGTTGCAGTTGGAAATTTCTTTTCTTCCTAGTGTTGAACTGTTTATATTGACATTCCTGATGGCTGCCTTTAGTATTTAATGTGTGTATGTGCTATTATGCTTTTGAGCTGAAATGCTATAGAAAGATTCTCAGAATATCTTTGACAAAGAAGAGGAGAAATACTGACATCTTGAAAGATCTGAACATCAAGGAAGATTGGCTAATAAACAGCATCCTGTCTTGGAAGCTGAAATATTTTAGTCATAACAAGCGCCACGACGGATTTGAAAAAATTATAGCAGAAAGCATGGTACCAGAAAGGAGGGGCAGGGGCCGACCAGCACGAAGATGGGCACAGGATATAAGTGACTCCTTGAGTATGAAAGTACATGAGGCGGAAGAGCTGGCGAGAGACTGAGTTTCTTTCAGGCAGACCATGATGAGAGGGACGTTCTGCAAAGAACCTGCTATATAATGATGATATGCTATTATATGTGCTGAGACTGCAGTTTGTGTCAATGTTTTCACAAGAGACAGTGATGGATTTTCTGTATGGTTTTCGTTGGCATAGGGACGGAGCATCTATGGAGTGACACATTTGCTAAGAAGTTGGCACAGCGATTACCTGACACCTAATTACCTGAAGTACTAATCCTAATGTTACTCATATAGGCTACGTTTTAAAAGAAAATAGAAAGAATGGTTAAACTGTAAGCTGATTGTTGACATGATGTCTATTGTCAAACAACGTTAATGTTAAAAATAATAACTCTTATTTCGGTCATCCAGATAAAATGAATTTGACAATGGTTAACTTTCAACTTTATTTCTTACGTACGTTGTAGAGATACAACAGAGAAAAATAGTATAAACAGCTTTGGAAGTTTGTGTTAAATAAGATATAATCACTCAGTGTACTAAAAAAAATAGTTTGTAATTCTTGGTGTCAGAAACTCACATTAACTGATAAAAGTTTCTACAAGAAATAATATAACCCTGCTGGCATCAAAATTTGGTGTGTTATCCAATTGGTTTTCTTGAGCGAGTTCATGTTAATGAGGATTACTGCATTATTTTATCATAATTATTTTAAATTATTTTGCACACAGTTTGAATCTGTAATATATTAATTTTTCTAGATAATTTGTGTGTTGTGTTTTTGGTATTATTTTGTCATTGTTCTGCTGATGAAGGCTAATCGCCTCCAAATTCTTTGTTTGCTTATTGGAACTAGTCTTGCAAAGTAAAGCTGACAGTTACTTTTTTTTTTAGACCTTTATTCTTTTTTAGACCTTTATTGTTTTTTAGACCTTTATTCTTTTTTAGACCTTTATTCTTTTTTAGACCTTTATTCTTTTTTTTGACCTTTATTCTTTTTTTTTAGACCTTTATTCTTTTTTAGACCTTTATTCTTTTTTTTAGACCTTTTTTCTTTTTTTTAGACCTTTATTCTTTTTTAGACCTTTTTTCTTTTTTAGACCTTCATAGCTTTACTGCAGTCAGCTCTTTTAGACCCCCCCCCCCTTTCCCCTCCCCCACAAAAAAATTACTAGTTTCACACCACTGACGCACTGAGCATATTGTGCTGGATCCATATTTGTACAGAGCATCCGGATCCATATTTGTACAGAGCATCCAGGACTATATTAGTACTTCATCATGCCAGCCACCTTTGCTTCCCAGGCAGTGACACAATCTTTCATGTGGTTTGAATCACAGGACTATTCCTGCGTGTGTGTGCTGAGTGATTCTTTCGGCATGATCCGGTGGGTCGAGGCAGGCTGGTTACGCAGACAGTGGGTGGTTTGAGTCATTGCAAAACTCTCCTGTGTGTGCAGTTACCTTCATATTCCTCCCAGGTCATGCAGGCGTTGTTGGTAATGAAAGAGCTGATAGACTAGCAAGTGCTGCATTAAATGAAGAGGGGCGGCCCATGGATCACGCAGACATTGTCATTGCCCATAGAGAGATAGGACGTTCTGAGGATTTTGGAAGCAACATGTCTGCATCACTGCAAAGAATACGAGAATTGGGAGTAAAGATCAGCACAGCCAAGTTTGAGAAGCACACCGGGTGCACACAAAGTCTTGTTAACCAACATAGGACTGGCACTATTAACCGCGTGATGCTGATGAATATGTTGAGAGGGGAATCTGAGCACCTATGGATGTGTCCGGAGTGCTGTGAAGATAATCTAACTCATAACTTCCCAGGACATTTACCTGCTACCTGTTTATAATGTCAGCAACAAAAACAGAGTTTACAAAAGATTTGAATGGGAGTACACCGCAAGGCAGACCAAGAAGTGAGGTATGATACAGAGGCAGATCTACAAGCACTTGCGTCACCAGCTATCTGTTTATAATGTCGGCAACAAAAATAGAGTGCACAAAAGATTTGAATGGGAGTACACCGCAAGGCAGACCCAGAAGTGAGGTATGATACAGAGGCAGATCTACAAGCACTTGGCATCACCAGCTGGAAAGAGAAGACTAGTCACAGAGATGAACGGAAGCATTTGATTTCTGCAGCAATCTCTTTTTCTTAGTGTTCACTGGCTGGTAAACTCCAGTGAAAAGTTCTGGCTGTTCATCCATATTTGGGCTTTAATCGTTTTCCAGAGCTTGAATCCTGTGTGCACATCCCTTTTACACATCTGGCTTACTTACATGCAGACTGTTATTTCCCCGCTTGTCAGGTAGATGCACTTCGGAGGAACAATTTCTCATTTGTTGCTTCTTACGGCATTTTGTTTAGGGAGGCAGCGAGTCTACCCCCCCCCCCCCCAAATCACCCGTTACCCCCCAAATGGGGCCATGGAACCCACACAGAGATCTGCAGCAATGTAATCCAAAGACTTGGAATATTGAAGAAGAAAAATAACAGCATTGAGATGAAGTTGGGTTGACTGCAGAGCCATAATGGTTGGAGAAAATCCTTCACTTTCCAGGGTTTGACACTGGACCCCTGTATCACATCATCATCATCCTGTCCTGCCATTACACATCATGTAATGTTTACAGTATATTCCTCTATTCTGTGTAATCCTTTCAATATCTTGGATGGAATCCAATCTAGCTCACTTTTTTCTTTCTCATCAAAGTTCATTTTACAGTGTCTGTTTAATGGTCTTGTTTCATCAGTCCATTTGTTTGCCATTTCAGTGCCTTTTTACTGATTCTCTGCTCACTTCTTCTAGGGACCCATATAACACCATTTTCTTTGTCTTATAACTGTTGATACCAGTCGTTGCCCAGACATTTCTCTTATGTCTCCACCTTTCCTCAATTCAACACATTTAATATTCATCAATTTCCTCAGCGTTTGTTTTCAAATGCATTTAATTTTCATTCCCTGGTTTTAGTGGTTCTCAAGATTTCAGGGGCATATGTGAAATGAATGTTGAAATCAGAATTGAAAATATATAACTTGGTTTTAAAACTTGTTTAGAATATATTTAGAAAAGAAAAAAAAGAATAGACCCAATGCCTCCCTAGAAAAAGCATATTTTTAAAAGACGACTAATTCAGGATTTTTTTATCTCTGAAGAGAGGCAAAGAAACGAAAGTCTGCATACAAGTTAGCCAGATCTGTAAAAACTGATGTGCACACAGGATTCAGGTTCTAGATTAAATTTTTTGTTTCTTTGTTAAGTTTGTTAACAGCCGCTGTTGCTTTGCCAGTATGATTCATACTTTGTTTTTTTTTATATTTCCTTGACAATTGGAATTACTACCTAAAAAAATAAACTGATTTGTTACTGTAATTCTGTTTGTCTCCAGTGTGACTTCTTCTTGGTCTGTTACTGATGTAATTAATTTATTTGGTTATTTTTTATAACTGATTTGTAATTTGACATTTGATGCTATAGTTCAGCGATTTTCAGTCTTCCTATTGCTGCGACCTTTTAATACAGTTCCTTATGTTGTGGTGACCCCCAACCATAAAAATAAAAAAATATTTTCATTACTACTTCATAAATTCTTTGAATATGTGTTTTCTGATGGTCTTTAGTGACCTCTGTGAAAGGGTCAATCGACCCCCTAAGCAGTAGTGACCCACAGGTTGAGAACGCTGCTTTAGTTGTAATCACAGGCAAGTGCTTAAACCTGAGATGTGATATAAACTCATATGCTAATTTGACATTTTTGACCTCTTTAACAGGACTGACACCATTGATGCTGGCCCTGCAACTTCATCGGCAGTCTGACCGCAGGGAGATAATTTCTGAGCTGATCAATCACCAGGCATCTCTTCACCTTCACGTAAGAATTAAAGCTGGTTGGGGAGCTGATTTGTCTGTTGTATGGTTTGTTGTATGGTTGGTTAGTGGTTGTATGGTTTGGCAGAAGGTTGGTAATTGAGTGGTTGGCTGGTTTGGTGGATTGTTGTATGGTTTGGTGAATGATCGTATGGTTGTATGTTTGGGTGGTTTGGTATTCAGGGTTATTTATACGATGGTCTCCTCATTTACACACCACCGGTTGTAGGTCAACTCCATTAATAAGTTGGTTGGACTGGTCTACCCTGGTCGAGGTTATGGGCGTCGCAGTCTGTTTTTGTCTGGCATTAACATTTTTATTTTCGAGAAAGAGACGGCCTGTGACAAAGGTTTTGTCACTCTCTGGGAGAGGTTGTGTGTTAGAATCAGTATTTAAATGTTTTAGAAGTGTTAAAAGCTCTGGCATGGTGAAATATACAACATGCAGTATGAGCGCAAGTGCGGAATATCCCCGTGACCTTGTGTGAAAGTTGGATCGCTCGAGGCCGAACTATCAGAAGTGAGGTAGTCAGTAGATTGTCCAATCAGAAGCAAGCTATCATTTAGCGGTGTGTAAATGGGGAGACCAATGTAAAATTTCCCATTATTTTCAGTTATATGTTTGGGTGGTTTTATGTTTTGTGTTCATATGTTTGGGTGGATGGATTGGTGTATTGGTAAATTAGTTGTTGATTAGGTGGATGAATAGTTTAATTATTCAGTGGGGGGTGGGGGAAAGGGGTGGAGTTTACAAGTCTAGTTGATTGTTTTGTTGGGAGTTTTTTAAAAGTGCACTGGTTCCCAATTAGCAATGACCTGTGACTTTTCTTATTTTCACAGGTCTGCCACCAACCCCATATAATTTAATCATCATCACTGCAACCATCATGAAGAGATTATTATAACATATACAAGTTAGAATTGAGTACAAAGTATTTCTCTGCCCGTTGCCTGCCATTCTCTCAGCCCTCACACTCTTTTAGCCCCCATGATGCCAGTAATTAGTGGCGATTAAAACAGATGATAAATTTCATCATTGCTTCTTTTGATGGGCCACCTTTGCCTCTCATAATCTTTCCTGATACTCAGTTTAGACAAGGTCGACCTTGTAGCCCAGATCAGCGAAAGTCACTTGCTGACCATAAATATGTATCCTTATCTGCAGGACACCATCCAAGGAAAGACTCCCCTGATGCTTGCCATCCAGTCCAGGGATGTGTCCCTAGTGGAGGCAATACTGCAGCAAGTCGGGGCAGAGGAGGCACGTCGCCTTGTCAGTGTGAGAGCCAAGAAGGACATGACCTGCCTTCATTTTGCTGCAGAGCTCCGGCTGGAGTCATCGCTGAAGAAGCGACTTCTCCGATGCATTATTGTGGCTGGAGGTATTGTTTTCTTCGTAATATTAAACAAGCCTGTCTGTACACTATATATTTATAGCTTTTGTGGGGTAGGCAGGGGAAGTCTTTGAACCTGGGGATTTAGCGCCGCATGGCCAGTACAGTTGCCATAAACATTGCAGGTTAGGATTTGCTTCAGACAGAAAAAATCCTTACTCAGGATATGAACCTGGGTCCCAATGTTCTTAGCTGTATCATTACAATGTAAATTGATGCCATTTCCACAATGGAGTTTGGCTGCACTGCACCCACGACTATTAAAATCTTTGCATTCACCGGCTGTAAACTCTGGCAGAAATTTCTGGTTCGTCCACCTCCTGACTTTAGTTTTGTTCCAGAACTTGATCTGCTGCGTGCAGATCCATTTTACAAAGCTGACTTATTTCTATGCGGACTGTTGGTTCCTAATTTCTCAGGCAGACACGCTTCAACTTCAAAGAAAGCCCCAAATTAGGCGACTCTTACAACATGCTTGTTAGGGAGGCAGTGAGTCCGTTCTAGTTTTCCCCCGCATTGAGGCTTCATAACCCACACTTGGAACTATTGGAATGTTAGTGGTAAAACCCCAGTCTCCTCCACGGCATGACTCTTGTACCGTTGTATAAAAACCACACGAAGGATCGCATATTGCCCATCACGGGAATGGAACCCTGGAAAACATCAAAGTTTGCATTGTGAAATGATTTCACTAACCTCTTAGTTATAGAGCCACACATTTTATCTTAAGGAAAGACTCAATTACATTTTAGTTTTTGAACAGAATCTCTTTGCTTACACATAAATTTCCCCGATCATTAGGATGGAGTTCCTTCACCATTCTTTGTCGTCTTTCTCTTTATCCGGTTACTTTATCGGAGTGTTGGGAGAAGGCATAAGGATCTTCTGTTTACCATTTAATTCCCTCCATACTGCGCAGACACCAGTTAGTGAATTTTATATTTGATTAGTAATTTTTAAACTGGTGGAACCAGTGGTTTTCTCGTCAGTTCACCCCACTATCTCGCCTGTTGCTCTTTAGTAAACTGTATGAATGGTTCGGTCTTAGTCTGTTTAAATTTGTCCATGTTAAATTTAATCTCTTCTTGTTCCTCCAGTAGAGAACGAATTGGCACTCTGCCAGCTAACAAGAATGTTGTGAGAGATGACCAGTTAGGGATGTTTCCTTTGAATTCGGAGTGCATCTGCCTGAGAGGCAATCTACCACACAATGGCTTTGACACAAATAGACATGCACAGTGTAATTCTGAGGATTTGATTTCAGTGCACTAGCAATGTGTTATGGGGGAGTTTTAACTGCACCAGAAAAGATTTGGTGTTCGCAAGACCTCAGTAAATGAACTACTTTTACATTCAGGGAATAAACTGTAGTATAACACAACTTACGTATGATTATCTTAAGTTTTGAAGAAGATTGTCAGTACAATGAGTCAGTAAACTACATTGGACCAGTTGTAGTTTAATTGTGTGAATTGATTTAGGGTGGTATTTGAGAGTGTGCACATATTTTGTCCATACAGTATTTTCCGTGCTGATTTATGTCACTTTCATCTGTGTCCGATTTGTGAGTAACGTATTTTGGGTAAATATAGTCTGTGGTTACATAATAGAAAATAGTCCCAATTAATATCTGTTTATTTCTCAGGAGATCCATCAGCGAAAAATTCAGAAGGGGAAACACCTCGTGACTGGGCCAAAACAGAAGTAAGCAGACGTGAACAGTTTAACTTACAAGAATTTGAATGTGGTATATATTTCTGTTGTCTAGACAGCTGCAGTGGTGATAGGTAATAGTAATAATAGTAAACAGTGCAAAGATAAAACAAACAAGTGAATTTAAATGTCTAGGGTCAGTTTTTCATATCAGAATAAAGAATGGATAGACAAATCACCATGCGATGAGGAAAAAATCATCCTAAATATGTATTCATACATTTCTGGACCTTAGCTGTGTTTCAAGACTTCACTTTTGCATGGAAAGATATAAAATCAAACGAAAAGTGATCAATGAGCTTCACAGTATAACAAATACAAACAAAACGTGAACGTTGCGGCTATAGAACCTTCATCAACACCTACATAAATAAATAAAAGCCACATGAATACGCAAAATCACTTAACTGAGTATTCAGAAGCAGCCACATTGATGTCTTGCCAATGGAATGGCTTTTCACTTTTTCGTGTACAGTGGAGTTTCAGGATATGAGTGTACCCAGATACAAGTTTTTTTCAGGATATGAGGTCAGGATCGCCAATTCTTTTTGCCCCAGAATATGATATGTAATCAAGGATGTGAGCTGGAGAGGTGAAAACTCAAAGGAGTCGAGGATTATGTGAAAGAATTAGCTAAATTTGTGGATCTTGAATGTTACATTTAAAAAAATGGTTAAATGTGACGAGAAAGGGCTCTTGTGGAAAAAAGACACCAAGGAGGACATACATAACCACAGAGAAGAAGGTTTACTTAAATTTGTTTCAGTATTTTTGTTTTAAATATTTTTTATTGTAAGCAGTGCAGATGAGATGAAAATCATTGGTAAAAGGAGAAACATGTCAAGACAGCAAAGAAAACCCTCCTGAATATAACAGGGCGATTAGCTAGTTGAACGAGGATTAAGTTTGATATTTTTGTTCCTAATGAATGAACAAACTTAGCCCTGAAACGGATTCAGTTATTATCTTGAAGTTCCACTACAGCATGTTACTCATCTGGCTTATTTGTGTGCAGTCTGTGGTTTTGTTGCCTTTCAGGCAAGTGCATTCTGACTTCGAAAGAAACATCAACCCTACCTCTAGAATGACATGATCAGTGCCATATGAACCTTTTGTATAAAGCGGAATGCTATCATTTAGTCGGACTGTTGATCGACATTTGAAGCAGTGTTTGTCATTTAGTAGGACTGTTGATCGACATTTGAAGCAGTGTTTGTCATTTAGTAGGACTGTTGATCGACATTTGAAGCAGTGTTTGTCATTTAGTAGGACTGTTGATCGACATTTGAAGCAGTGTTTGTCATTTAGTAGGACTGTTGATCGACATTTGAAGCAGTGTTTGTCATTTAGTAGGACTGTTGATCGACATTTGAAGCAGTGTTTGTCATTTAGTAGGACTGTTGATCGACATTTGAAGCAGTGTTTGTCATTTAGTAGGACAACTCTGCCCATGAACTTCACTCAGTTTTCAAATGAGTCTTCGTTAGACATTATCACCCAAGCATTAGGGGGTGCTCTGGTGAGTGCCAGAGTTTTCTAAACACTGTATCTTTAGAGGCCACCAGCTCTGAGATCCCCTGCCAGTTCAGTTTAGCTGATCCCCCGTGTGGGTTCCGGGGCCCCATTGTGGGGAAAACAAGAATAGACCCACTGCCTCCCCAAAAGCATGTCGTAAGAGTCGACTAATTGGGGAGCTTCCTTTGAAGTCGGAGTGCATCTGCCGGAGAGGCAAGGAACCAACAGTCTGTATTCAAGAGAATGAGATCTGTAAAACTGATGCACACGCAACACTCAGGTTCTGAAGCAGGACTGCAGTTCAGTAGTGGACGAGCAACTAGAACCTTCCGCCAGAGTTTACAGCTGGTGAACGCGAAGAAGAAGAAGAAGTTTAGCTGATAATCCATTATCCAAGATGCGCATCATGGCAGGAGTCTTTCATAAAACTAACACAGTGATTGCTGGAGCCTGAAGGTGTCCTCTTATACACAGCACAATGGCCCACACTGTGGTGAAGGCTCTCTGGGATCAAACAGACATTGCACTAGAACAGATGCGGAAAAAGGGGGGGGGGGGGGTAGAGAAAAGGTTCTGGAAGATATTTAACACCAAGGGGGTAACATGGGGCAGACTGTTAATCAGGTTGTAACTGGTACTATTAGCATGTCGACTTTTCATTGGCTACTGAAGAAGGGGATGGAGCAGGTGTGGGAATGTCCAGAAATCACTGAGGTAAATTCTTCACTCATTAATTCATTTGCCTAAACTGTCCCTCATGCCTGTGATCAAAATCACCACATCATATCCCTAAACTGAATGATGGAGTCTGAAAATTAGCCCATAACCTTCAGTAACGTTTAAAAAAAACAAAAAACTGTTCCTATCCAGTGGCCAATCTGGCATAAGCTGCTAGACTTATATTTTTATAAACCAGTCAGCACTTGATGAGTGATGTGGTCATCATCATGCCGGACGCCTTTACTTCCCAGACAATAACCTTTAAGCCTAAGACAAATGGTTGAAAAAAAAGTTATAAACCATGTTTAGATGTGTCATCATTATCATGTTCTTTTCTGATAGGGGTCAGCAGTCATGGTTTTCATTTCACACAGTCACTAGAGTCTTTGAGCAGCTATGGGCCCCTGACCTATTTATGGTGTTAACTAGTTATCCAGTTCTTTTCTAGAAGAATGCAAAGAATAGGGAGTGACAGAAAAAAACAGATGAGTTAATCCTTTCCAAGAGAGATGAAAATCATGAAATGATTAGAGACATTAGAAGTAGACACAGTCAGTATTTTTGGACATGGCGTGAGAAGGAATGGACTGGGGAACTTAGTGACAACTGGCAAGGAGAAGGCAAAGAACTGGCAAGGAGAAGGCAAAGAACTGGCAAGGAGAAGACAAAGAACTGGCAAGGAGAAGGCAAAGAACTGGCAAGGAGAAGGCAAAGAACTGGCAAGGAGAAGGCAAAGAACTGGCAAGGAGAAGGCAAAGAACTGGCAAAGAGAAGACAAAGAACTGGCAAGGAGAAGGCAAAGAACTGGCAAGGAGAAGGCAAAGAACTGGCAAGGAGAAGGCAAAGTACTGGCAAGGAGAAGGCAAAGAACTGGCAAGGAGAAGGCAAAGAACTGGCAAGGAGAAGGCAAAGAACTGGCAAGGAGAAGGCAAAGAACTGGCAAGGAGAAGGCAAAGAACTGGCAAGGAGAAGGCAAAGAGCTGGCAAGGAGAAGGCAAAGAACTGGCAAGGAGAAGGCAAAGAGATAAATACCCAGATATCTTAGTCATATGGATGGAGCAAGGCAGTATCACTGATCTGGGATTCTAGTGATTATGTGACATGGGGACACATGGCAGCCTATGCTTGTCAGCATGGCACATGATGATGATAAAGCAATCCAGACATCATCTCCCCCATCCTCTTCCCCTCCTCTTATGTCTGCGAGCCATTACCAAGCTCTCAACCCAATTTTTCCCCACATGTCCACAAACAAACAAAAAACATGTTTGTCCACACCCAGTTTCTTCAGTCCATTTATGGGTTTCGTCTGTCTCCTGAAGAACTGCCTTATTTTAGGTATCCATAACTTTGAATTACATTATCAATTTTAGCTTCTTCTTGTTCTAGCATTCCCTGGCTGTCAACTCTGGTGGTTGAATTCTGGTTGTTTGTCCACTTCTGAACTTTGGCCTTGTTCCAGAACTTGGGTTTTTTTGTTTTGTTTGGCACATTAGTTTTGCAGATCTGGCTTATTTGAATGCAGATGGTTGGTTCTCCGCCTCTGAGGCAGATGCACTCCTATCTTTGAGGAAAACATCACTGATTAGTCGCAGTGTATAACATGATTGTTAAGGGAGGCCAGGGGTCTACTTCTTTTTTCTCTTCCGGCTGGCACCCACATGAGGATAATCGTTTGGCTTCTCAGGTCAAACTGGCAACCATGAGTCATGTTGATTATTTATCTTGCAGCTGTCCGGTTGTTCTTTTGAATATTTTAAAACAAACGATTGTTATGTTCATTTTTTTGATTGCTCACTGAATATATTTTGATTATTTCAGATAAATGAAGTGCTACAAAATCTGGCAAGATTATTCAACCCATGATGTGAGATGCAGATGATGAAACTGACAGAAAATGTCAGTGTCCCAAAGTTTACTTCATGGAGAGACAAGAGTTACAAGTGCAGATTTTTAGTTGGTTGAGTGATGCTGACCACATCTCCTCTTGAGTACCGCTGATTGGTCTATAATAATATGGGTCTAGCCAGGGTTTCTTTCTAGAAAAAAAAGGTTGAATGTTGAAATAATATCATAGCACTCGGGACACTCCCATAAACGCTGCATCCCCACCTTCAGCAGCTAGTGAAGAGTTCCAGTTCCGATAGCACCAGTAACTGTCTGATTGTATATCCAGTTCACCTTTCCCTTGAGTGTTGAGCGTCGGCCAAATTCCCTGGTGCCTCCATGCAGCGCCGTTCTCCTCTAAAAAAAAAAAAAAAAGGTGCTTGCACCTACAAGAAGGTGACTAATAAAGGGTATTTGTATGCATCACAGAGTGTCTATTACAGTAGTGCTAAAATAAGGATGCTTCAGAAAAGATGCTCTTATGGAGTACCTTTACCTACCTTCAGAAAAAATGCCCTGTGTAAAAATTATATATCCAATGCACCAGTAGTGTGAAATTTTTTTTTCATTTAATGGTTTTTGTTTTGTTTGAAGTTTCCTGCCACTGAAAGAGTGCAAGAAAGCAAAGAATAACATCACTTTTCTTTTTAGACATCTTAGACTCAAACCCAGCCCCCACCCTTCCAGACAAGCATGTCATATAAGGGGACTGATTAAGGATGGTTCCCTCAAGCTCAAATTACATCTGACTGAGAAGCAAGGTACCAAGAGTCTGCATACAAATAAGCTAGATCAGTCAAATCTGTAAAATGTACAGAAGAAGAAGAAAGAGAAACTCTTAAGACAAATGTTGGTGCTACTTTCTTTAGACAAGTGTTCCTGAACCATTTCACACCCACGGCCCACAAAAACAGAGAATGTTTATAGCGGCCCATCTAACAGTTAACCAAACACATACAAATGTAGATAGAAGTTTATTTATTAAATCCTACTCCCTGTGTGGGTTCTTGGGTCCTATTATGGGGAAAACAAGAATAGATCCACTACTTGTTCAAAGCATGTCGTAAGAGTAGACTAATTACAAGCTTCTTTTGAAGTCGTAGTACGTCTGCCTGAGAGGCAAGGAACCAGTACTCTGCATGCAAATGAATCAGACCTGTGAAATGAATGTGCATGCAACACTCGGTTTCTGGGACAGGATTCTAAAGTTCAGAAGTAGACGAACAACCACAACTTTCCGTCAGAGTTTACGGCCAGTGAATGTGAAGAAAAAGAAGAAAATTAAATCCTGTGTCACGAAATTACATGTGGCATGTTTTCATTCTCATATTTGAGGTGTTGTTCCTACAGATTGCAATCCTGGAAAAGAAAAAAAAACTACCTTCCGTACCCTGGTTAAACAATTAAGCAGAAATGTTGGTTGTCCATCTGACTTCTCCCATCTCACTCCCTCCCCGGTTGAAGAACACTGCTGTAGGCCAATCTTGTGGCTGTTGAACAGCGGTACAAGAGTCAGACCACAGAAAAAAATTAGGGCCTCACCCTGTAATATTCAAAAAGCATTAGTTTTGGCAACAGCACATGTTTCTGCTACAAATATATAGTGGCTAGAACTATGCCTACTGGCCCAAAGATCTTGATCCCCATCGAGGCAGATTTTTTCAGTATTGATCTTGGTTCCCACGTCGACCCAGCCTAAATTATATACCAGGTGGTGTCCTAGGAAGTAAAGACGGCCGTGTGATGTCGACACATCACCCGCCAGGTGCCAGGATAAACTAAATATGAGTCTAATATCATATGCCAAAGGTACCACCAGCGTAAAAAGGGTCCTAGTCTTTATATTCATGAATAGACATGTGAGAGTGTACAGAGAGGTCTCATGTTAATTTTATATAGCTTTCTTGTAAATGTGAAATATGTACATATGTAAGTAAAGAACCATTTTCCACACTAGGGCTAGATCTATATTTTATAGACCAATCGGCATTTGGTGGGTGCATGTTGTCAGCATCACGCTGGCCACCTTTACTCTCCAGGACTGCACCTGGGACCCACCCAAGGCTGGCTTGACCTAGGAGCCAAGTCATTTTTGAAACAAGTTTGGCTCCGTCAGGACCCGAACCCAGACCTTCCTATCTGCAGGTGAACATCTAGCCGCTACACCACGGTGACTCCATTGTGTGTATACATAGGAGATTACATTTGTCTCTGCACTTTATAAATGAAAATAAGATAACGTCATGTGTGTGATCATTAAAATATGTATTAATGTATAATGTAACAGTTACTTTGGTTAAATTTATTTTACATGTTTTATATTATTGTAATGTTTCCCTTTTGTAGATTAAAATAATGATGGCACAAATAATGAACTGCTTGAGCTCTCTGCCTGGAATATTTACTGGAGGGTTCAAGCCAATGACCTTTAGGCCAGCAGACAAACATCTAGCCTTTAGCCACTGTGCTACCGCAGTTACTTTGAAATACAGCAGATAGTATTGTGTGTTTTGTTGGCACCTCTCTCTGTGTTCTGTTGTCCTATAGCGAGGCATGGGGATCACAGCCTATGGCAGTACCGGTTAAGGCCATGGACAGGTTCCTGGGCAGTGTTGTAGAGACGATGCAACATGATCCCTCTCTCAGCCTTTTTTATTATTTTCAAAGAGAATGTAATACCAATACATTTGGAACAAAGCATGATGCAGAAGCTGCAAGATCAGGAAAAAAAATGTCACCCGAAGATAAATAGTGTAATACCATTTGTTTATTCGTTATTTAAATTCTTTATCATTGCTTATACACACAATTTCATAAAGTAAGAAGGGTCTGCCTGTCCAAATCTGAACCTTTTGAAAATAAATTTTTGTTTGTTTGTATTTTAAATCATTTGCTTAAACCTTGCTCTTTTTCTTTCAAGACTTGTTTCCCTGTCTCATTCCACCATCTTGAGAATCACTTGTATAGAATTACAAGCTTTGGAAGCAAGAAGTCTCCACTTCTTTCCATTTGTTTCAGTGTGTGTTAATCATTGCTTACTATCATGTAAATTATAATTCTGAGCACGTTACTGTAATGTCTGTGATAAGATTATTTTTATTAGCGGTTACTCTTTATGTGATTAAATATATAAAAATTTATAAGCAGACAATGAAAGAACTTGTTCTGTTATTGTTTTATATATGTATTGTTAGAAAAGTTGCTGGTCCATATGGTATCACAACAGAAGCAGTTAAACCAGTAACAACACTTTAGTTGTGTTACCGCACAAATTATTTAGCAGATACCAGGGGACTAAGAAATACTAGCAAATTGAAGAGATAAATATTTGATGAAGCTGCCAAAGCAATAATAATTGTTGGAGTATAGCCAGGAATAAACAAAAACACTCTTTCTTAGTGTTTTTGTTTATTCCTGGGAAATATTAAGCAGGATTCTTCTTCTGCATTCACCCTTGATAAGATGTTTAGCATGCTGTGTTGTGGTTTACAGCGGGGCTGGGATATCTATACCTTTTGGCCCAACATGTTTAAGAAAACTCCTAATTATGACATGCTTATGGGGATGCAATGGACCAAATATTCCCCCTCCCGAAATGGGGCCCTGGAACCCACACTGCAAAAGCAGGATTATTCTGGAGGTTGAAAGGTTACACTTGCAAACAAACAGGTTCTGAACTGACTGAACAGCTATATTCGGGACTGTGCATACTATGATACAGAGGCGACTGCATCAGGTGACTCCGTAGTGGGGGAATCAAGCAGTGATATCAAAACGCAATTTGAACTTTTGATCTGATAGCGCGAAGCTATTAGGGGCAGCATTTCAAAGACTTCTATCGTACTGAGAAAATCGATCACACGGGACTGGCCGTATTATTCATAATAAAGCAAAACATTCAAATGACTTTATTATATATAAATATATAATAAGACACCTAAAGGTTTCACAGATTGTTAATGCAGCACTTTCAGTAACAAAGAACTTACCATATGTTTCTTGGTTATTTCAACAATTAAATAACATTCTTGCTGTCTTCTGTTACAGATAGTTGCTAGAAGATGCCTCATACGTTTCCATACATAGGAAGATAACATTTTAAAATATAAAGTGAAAAACAATTTTATTTATATAATATGTTCTTCATGACTACCATCTCTGATAGTGAGTGTTCAATGCAAAGACACAAATAGATCTTTAAGGTCTGGAGAGAATGGTGCAGCAGGAAGTGACCAGGGTAGGTCTGGAAAGAATGATGCAGCGAGAAGTGACCAGGGTAGGTCTGGAAAGAATGATGCAGTGAGAAGTGAGCAGGGTAGGTCTGGAAAGAATGGTGCAGCGAGAAGTGACCAGGGTAGGTCTGGAAAGAATGATGCAGCGAGAAGTGACCAGGGTAGGTCTGGAAAGAATGATGCAGTAGAAAGTGACAGGGTAGGTCTAAAAAGAATGGTGCAGCGAGAAGTGATCAGGGTAGGTCTGGAAAGAATGATGCAGCAGGAAGTGACCAGGGTAGGTCTGGAAAGAATGATGCAGCAGGAAGTGACAGGGTAGGTCTAAAAAGAATGGTGCAGCGAGAAGTGACCAGGGTAGGTCTGGAAAGAATGATGCAGCAGGAAGTGACTAGGGTAGGTCTGGAAAGAATGATGCAGCGAGAAGTGACCAGGGTAGGTATGGAAAGAATGATGCAGCGAGAAGTGACCAGGGTAGGTCTGGAAAAAATGGTGCAGCGAGAAGTGACCAGGGTAGGTATGGAAAGAATGGTGCAGTGAGAAGTGAGCAGGGTAGGTCAGGAAAGAATGATGTAGCAGGAAGTGAGCAGGGTAGGTCTGAAAAGAATGGTGCAGCGAGAAGTGACCAGGGTAGGCCTGGAAAGAATGGTGCAGCGGGAAGTGACCAGGGTAGGTCTGAAAAGAATGGTGCAGCGAGAAGTGACCAGGGTAGGTCTGAAAAGAATGGTGCAGCAAGAAGTGACCAGGGTA